CAAGATGGCGGCTGCCTGTAATGGCGACCTGCGACCATGGAGATAAAAACAGGTTTTTATAAGATAAAAATAATAAAAACAAGGTCTTTGTCTGCAATGATTAGACATGTTTTTTATTAGTGTCATTAGTGATTATCTCAATTTCGGCTAAAAGAATTGACAAAATCCTACACACTGTGTCTTTAATGTTTATTTTGAAATTCTTCTTGTCTTTTTATATTTTCTTTTGTGACATGTGCTGCTGCCTATGTTGGCCAGGTCACCCTTGTGAAAGAGGTGTTGATCTCAATGGGTTTTTATCTGATTAAATAAAGGTTTAATAAAAAAAATAATAATAATTTGTTAAAGGTTGAACATAAGAGTTTATGGGACTGCCTTAGTATTTTAAGGAGTCAGTTATTTTCCTCAGAACTTTAAGTTCTGAGAGTGTAAACTGACTCCTTAAAATACTAAGGCAGTCTTACAACTGGTGGTCTGTACGATGCTGCCATCTAGTGGTGGCACCGCGTTAAAGGGGTCCGTCAGAGGCAATATGTCAAGGACAGTTTTGCTTGTTTTTTTTTTCCACTCTGGGTGACTTCTACATTATGATGGTCAACTGATAAATTCACTTTAAAATAAAAAAATATTTATACTTTACATCTTTTTTAATCTAACATGAAGAATAAAACTAACTCACATGTCAGTCAAGGTTTGATAAGAAATTATTGCTAAAAATAAAAAAAGAAAGTTTTTTTTAAACAATTTCACTCAAACTTGATGGGAAAAAAAAACAACTAAAAAAAGATCAATTTTTTAACTTCCTAGCCAAGTGAGAGAGAAAACAATATTTTTCAAAGCGTTACTTAAATGGTAGAACTGCTTGCCGTACCTGCACCACTTATCTCCCTCTCTAAAAGCATCTGATTAGAGCAGACCGTGAAGTCGTAATAATCTCGATACGCTGAGAGAAATGTCTTTTTGTCCTCCGTCTCACCTGTCCTGCAGCAGCTCCGATGCTTCCGGTTCCGTCCACGATCCCAGTGACGGTCGCCAGCGCCTCCTGGCTGCCCCTCAGGGCGTCCTGCCTCCCGAGGTCGGCGGAAATGGCCGAGCTGATCATGTTGGACGGGCCGCCGATGAAGAAGCCGGTGGTGGCCAGGATGACGGCGTTGATGACCTGGTCGTTGGGCGATCCTGAGCGTCCGGGGAAGCAAACGTTGAAAAATAAAAAACAAATAAAAACACCGACATGTTGAAGGATTTAATGCGGTGAAATTAAAGGTGGTCACTCACGGCTGTACCCCACCAGGGCTCCCATCGCCATGGCCAGGCTGAACGCCAACACCGGAGCTCTTTTCCCCAAGAAATCAGAAATGAGACCCTGAACCGTCCCACCTGTGTCGGTATAAGGAACAAAAACGTTGCAGGTGAATCCACCTCAGCGTTAAATCTCATCCGACTCGAGAAGCCGGCYGCTCACCGATGATCCCGCCAACATCGTACCACACAGACAGGCGGTCRGCCTCGGCCTCCTTCCACCCGTAGTTGTTGCTCAAGTAGAAGGGAAGCCAGAAGAAGAAGGAGTAGTTGACCAGCTTTAAGCAGGCGTACGCTAAAGAATACTGCAGAACAAAGACGAGGAGGCGGGATTAACTCGAAGGTTTTTAAGGCTTTTAGAATCCGGAGCTCCTCAGACTTACGGGCAGAACTCCAGGCAGGCAGAACGCCTGGAAGAAGCTGATGGCGTGYGGAGGACCGTCCGGAGATTCGTCCGGCTGCTGGACCGACCCGCAGCKCTTGACGTGGTGCTCCTCCTCTTCCTCCTCCACCTCCTCGTCGCTCATCAGGGGCCTGTGGCTGTCCGAGTCCGTCTCAACYGGGCCGAGTCCGGTCTCTGACTCCCTCAAACCTGACACCCGAAAAAAAAAACCATCAACTCAACTTAGTAGTGTTTGAACATCATGAACCTCTCAAATCTTGTTGCCAAACTTCATTCAAATTTCGCCTCTTTTTATGTTCTTCTTCGTGTAAATTTTCTTGGCGGTTGTCAGTTAATTTCAGGCGTCACTCAGGAAGGAGTTTGGGGGTTTTGTTTAAGTTCGGCAAAGGTGTTTTTTTTATTTTTTTATTTTACTGTTATTTAAAGGGGGTGAGACCAGAGAGTGGATTGATATGTTTTTACATGAATCTGTCCGTCTTTCGCTGCAAATCACGTCAAATATGACAAACAAGAACTAAAAAAGTGCAATAAATAATTATCATACCTCTGGTTTTACTTATAATTACAATTTAAAATGTAAAAACTGGCTTTTAGGACAAATTGAAACAGATTCCTAGAAAGCATATCTTTCCCACTAGACTGCTTTAAATCAGTCATGTGACTCAAACTCCAGGGAATTAATCGTCATATTAATCAYGATTTTTTTTTGCCAATATTGCACAACCCTCTTACAAGGTGAACTTTATATTTAGTTTAAAAGAAGAAAAAAAAAAACATGGTTTTCACCGATTTCTTTCGGGGAGGTGAGCAGGCCGAAGAACACCACCACCCCACCGGCAAACTGCACCACAGAAGTCACCAGGAAGGCGTACTGCACACAGTTAATATTACATCAATACCTACAGGAGGTAAAGCATAAAAAGATCCCTGTCTTTATGTGTGTGTGACCCACCTCATATCCATACTTGAGCACGCTGGAAGCCAGGAACGCTCCCAGGATGTTGCCGACAGAGGCGCAGGCGCTCCACAGCCCGAACACGAAACCCCTCCTGGACAAACCCAAAAGAAAAAAACTGGTTCAACTTTCACTCACCGTTTGTAAATAAAAGAACATTTTGGCAGAAATAACATGTAAAAAGACAAATCTATTGCTGTTTTTATGACTAAGAACTTACTGCAATTAAAAAACAGTCAGTTTTTGAAGCATGAATTAAAGATTTTGAGGTTTAAGATTTAAAGTAAAATATCGTGTGATTTATTAGCATTTAAGATAAATTACGGTGGACTCTCAGCTACTATCACACTAAATTTTAGCGTAATATCTGTAAAATTAATGGCGTTAAAGCCATTTTTTGTTTGCTAAAGCTGCTCAGATAAGGCGCCCGTCTTGTGTTGGCTTGATTAAAATCCATCCACTGGTTCATGAGTTATTTTGCTAACAAACACAAGCAAGAAACACAAACGGGCAATTTTAAGATGGGATTTTTCTCTCACCCCGCCTTGCCGAACCAGTTGCCCATAACGGCCACGACGCAGGGCCAAACAGCCGACTGCAGCAGGCCGTTCAGCACCCAGAGGCTGCAGTACAGATAGATGTTGTAGACGTGGAGCCATTCGGTCACCGTGCCGAACAGGAACTCCTGCAAACGGACAGGCGGAGCATTAAACACACAACAAACAGCATTTCACAGAGGAGCTGTGTTCACGCACCACCACAGCTGAGCCACACAGGCCGAAGCAGAGGACGTAACGGAGGTTGACTCTGTCCCCGATCACCCCGCTCAGATACAGACCCTGTGAGGAGGGAAGACCAGAAACCAAAATCAAACATTTGATTCTGTTCAAACCCTAAAGACGTGTTCAAAACTGTTCTTTTATCCATTCAAATATCTAAATGTTTGCTTTGTTTGGTCTTACTTTTAATGTTTTATGTTTAAATTATTTACCAAAACAAATATTTCTACAGAAATGCTCTGAAATCTCTTATTTCTTGACATTTAGTGCGTTTAGCTTTGCTTCTATTTCATCTTTTGACTTTTATTTTAGCATTTAGAGACTATTTTGCTACATTAAGCTTTTAGCTATCATTAAAGTTTTGTGAATTTTTACCTCCAGCTTTGGTTCGGACAATTTTTAGCTGTTACCTCACATTTTGCCGTTTCCAACGTTTAGCTACAATTAGCTTTTACCCACGGTTTTTGTCCTTTTTGCTTTAGCTACAGTTAAGTACATTTTAGGTTTAAGAATATTTTTTGCTAATTTTAGCTTTTAGCTACAAAATGCTTTTAGTTATATTTTAACCATTAGCTTTTAGCTGAGGTTGTGCCTTTTTCTTTTGCTTCAAGTTCCAATTTAGGAAACTTGGCTTTAAGTTCAAGTTTTGCTATTTTTAGCTAACAGCTACAGTTTTGTTATTTTTAGTTTTTATTCATGTTTGTTCATTATTTTAGTTTCGTTTTAATGTATTAGGATTTAGATGCAATGTAGCAACATTTAGCTTTTAGCTAAGGTTTGCGAATGTTTTGCTTTAAGCTATGACTTTACTAATTTAAATAAGCAGATCTGTACTCATAACTGATGAAAGTAAGGAGAATGTTTTATTTTTTTAGTTTGTAGTTTTTGTTTTTAATGATTTTTGGGTAATTGATTTATTGTTTTTACATATGTATGTAATTTTTTTTACTAAATTGGCTTGTTATTGTTTATTAGAACATGTTTGATTTCATCAACCTGTCCAGAGACTGCAGGTGGAAATTAGCATTCTTTGCTATAACCTGGTACCATGCATCTCTCCTTGTAAAACGTTAATGAAATGTTGTACATTGTTTATTTATTTATACAGAGACAAAAAAAAAATTTTTTTTTGCTACTTTTAGGTGCATTTTTACTATTTTTTCATAGAGTTTTGCTAATTTTTGCTTCTGTTCTTGTTTTAACAAATACTTCAGCTCCAGCTTATTACAGCCGTCAGTCGGCCCTCAACGCTACATTATTTTATAACTTTTTTTAGTTGCAGAACTTGTTACGTCTGAAAAAAAAGGAGTTAATTCCAACACATATTTCTCAGAAACCTTAAACCGTACTTTGATCCACAGACAGCAGCCTGGGGATTCTCGACAAAAGACTCACCACTGCGTACGAGAAGAGGAAGATGGAGTCCAGAGCTCCCAGGAACAAAGTGGCCTGAGCTTCATCAGCAAAGAGACGATTGTCCTGCCACGTCTGGACATTTACAGGAGAACAGAAGACTTTTATTTTCCTCCTTATTCATCTGAGAATCACAAAACCAAGCTAACTGAAGCAAATAACGCCTGGTTCTGTTCGGTACCTCGTTGGGAGARAACGCCGACGCGCTGTCGTTCTGGACGGATGGCGTCCACTGGGCCGAGATGCTCACTTTCACGTTGCTGAAAGTTTTTCTGGAGGCGTGCAGCAACACATAGCTGCAGAAACACACGTATGATAAAAATAAAAAAAAACATGATGCAGAAGGATTTGTGTTCGCTGCACATTCCTCTTTTAAGACAAAGTATTTCAACATGTATTGAYGTTATAATCTTTGTTATTTTAACATGCACCCTGAGTTCATTTGTTCACCTTTAAACTGCAACTTGTGCAGTTTGAAGTGCCTGATTGTGTGTGATGGTCAAATGTCGGGTGTGGTGTCCTGTGTGTTGTTGGTGTTCATTTCACATGTTGTATTATTTCTATCGGTTTCTCTCTTTACTGTTTTTATACTTCTACTTCTACTTCTCTTCTACTTTGTCTTTCTTACTATAGTATTATTTAAAAAAAAAGCCACTGATGATGCAGAAATTAAGAAACTAACATTCAGTTTTGTTTTCTACTGAAGTGGCAAAAAAAAATTGCTAAATTAGCTGTCCATTTTTAATTAAAAATAAAGGTTTTGTGATCAGGAAGCTGCTAAATCCAGGTCTTCTAACACTAAATTACAAAAACCAACATTTATTATTTACTCTCGTGGGTAAAATACAAAAAAATATTCCGCTCAGTGCAGCACCAGCTTCCCTTTCTTTCTTTAGCGTCTCTCAGTTACCTAAAGAAGGTGAGGAGAAAGACAACCAGGTGATGATGGGTGAACTGTGACAGGTAGCCACAGCACAAGGGAGGCATCACAGGGGCGGCCGGAGGGAGGATGAGGAGGACGAGGAAGGAGGTGGTCTTCGAGGATAAGGTGGAGGGGGTGGGGGGAGTCAACTAAAGTCCTCCACTAAATCAGACGGGACAAACACATCTCTAGAGGTGGAAGGACGTGCCTGCAGAGAAAGGARGTTTAAACCAAACACATGCATGGTTCATTGAACAGATCCAGAAAACTTTAGGATTTTTATGTTCTGAGCGTCTCCCTCTTTGGCCCAAAACCCTTGATATGTACATATATGCCCCGTCTGAACGCTGCATTGGAAATTACTCATGAATGAGCCCTGTGTTAACCGCCCCACACCAGCTTGTTCAGCAGCAACACAGCCTYGTTTCATGCTGCTTTCATGAAAAAAACTCAAAACGGAGAATTTCCAGCTCCTTAATGCAAATAAAAATATGTTCTCTAACGCTTAAAGATGACTTTTCATCTGAATTATAAGAAATCAATAAACAATACTTGATTTTAAAGAATATAAATGAAGAATAAACTTGATTATAAAGATTGGCAACAAATATAAGTTTATTAATCTGTGAGGAAGCCAGGTTATAAAGACTCTGGAGCCTTCTTTTAAATAAAATGTACAAAATATTGAAAATACAAATAAAAAGGGCAGATTTAACTACCGAGTCAAATCAAAACAGGAGAAATTTGTATTTTCCTCTTCTTCACTCCCTACACAGATACAAAAGACATCCTCTTTTCTACATATATGTTTTTGCAACATCATGACAATATTTACAGAAATAATTATCTTTTTTCTTTAAAACAAGACTTTGCAAATGGAAATGCMACTTGCACCTGGTAACTTGTGCCTCCATGAGGTTCACGCTACAAATAAAACGTGCAGTTTGTCAAGTTTGTTTAAGMAAAACACAACTTTCTTATCAGGTTTCAGAGGAAGGCTGTCAGCTGAGAATGTGCAAGTGCCAGAAGGTGTTACTGGAAACATATTTATAGCAGCAATGGACAGAATTTAGGTGCATGTCTGAGTTAAACACTTTGGTTTATTACAGTAATTTTTATCTGAGATTTCTTCTAAGCTTGTCGCGGGGTTTTAGAGGAAAACTAGCAACATATGTTTACTGAGGAAACCGCTGTAGGCAGTCAGTTCCGGGTGTTTTAAACCTTTAAAAACTCATAATAAACGTCCCCGAGCTTAACGATAACGTTAAAACAGGTTTAAGTAAAAAGTATTATRATAAATAGAGCACCGCCGGTTCTTACCTTTATGTTTAGATCCACGTAGCTGCTGCTTTGAGCCGCGACAATCTGATGTGTTTACTGCGGCTGCGTCGCTCCGAACGTCACCCGGCGCCCTCCAGCGGCACGCTACTGCCACCAAGAGGACAGGAGGAGAATTACACACT